ATAATAATAATAATATAATTATTATTATTATTATTATTATTATTATTATTATTATTATTATTATATATAAATGAATGATATTGTAGAAATGCTCTAAGTTTTGGGAGAAAAACTTGGGTAGGAGGATTTTACTTTTAATAATAATAATAATAATAATAATAATAATAATAATAATAATAATGATCTACGGTACTGACAACCGCATTTAAGAAATGTGGTTGTCGTATAAGCTTCGTATACGCATAGCCGCGTTTGAGAAATGCGGCTTTCGTATTGCATACGATAGCCGCATTTCCCAAATGCGGCTATGATATTAGAATCGCCGCTGGTTGGCCGGCGATAAGCCGGAGACAAAAACGCATTTGGGAATCAAAACGCATTTCCCAAACGCGTTTTTGCCCTCGGCGGGCCGGCCATTTACTTACATGTCCTATTGCACCCCTTTTTCCGACACACACAATATTTATCCAAGTTTTGCGACTCTAATGTGCGTGTAGTTATCCGAAAGTCTTCATTTACATATTCATACTTTTTTTGAACTTGAGTAGACTAGACTAGAGTTTTGATTGGAATTAATGTGTGTATTAAAGTAGACATTACGAAATTTAATTTGAGAACACACTTCAAAAGAAAATAAGAATTTTAATGGTTTTTGTTGTATGAAACTGCAACATAATATATGCTTCTAATATGTGGTTTTTTTTAGAAAGCCGTAAAAAATAAAGCATGAAATTTTGTATATGCACGTTTCATGATATAGTATTTAATTAAAATATTTTGCGTAATGTTAATAAATAAATTGTCGATTACATGGCATATATAAATCATATAATACATGATTACAATTTTCATAGTTTGAAATATAAAATTTCATAGCTTTTGACAGATTGATATTACACATTTAATAATATTTTGAACAAATAAACAAATATGCGTTACAAATTTGACAAAGACAAACCCATGCCGGGGCGTATTACTTGTCTGCTTACAAAATCTGGGCCACGCCACGAATGAATAATCTCCCATTTGGAATTTGAATTGAAGGAGTATGTCTGCGAAATTGTTAGGCTGCTGTCCGCGACGAATGAATAATCTCCCATTTGGATTTTGAATTGAAGGAGTATGTCGGCGGAACTGTCAGGCTGCTGTATTGACAAAAGAACTACCCCTCGTTGTCATTGGAACTTTGATTGAGGTGCATTTTGTCAACGTAACAACAACCTAGGAAGAAAATATGCAACTTTCAATTCCTAATCACAATCACAAGTGCGCGTGATTTAATCGAATAACAATAAAGATGTTTTTTACAAACAAAGAGTGATGAAAACAAGTTTAGAGATAGCTTAGAAAATATTCGCAAAATCTCTCTCGCCATATTTTGGTAAAAATAGATTGAGTGTGAAGATAAATGCCAGAAATGATGTGGGAAAGATGAGATTTATAGAAAAAAAAATTAAAAAGAGATTGTATAAAAATTTTAGAATAATTGGGTTAAAACTCACCGCAAATCTAACAATTTCGTGCAGAACAAGAGCAAACGACTGTGATCGTAATCACAAGCACTTGGTCTAACCTCAAACCCAACCAACAGGCGGATATCAATGACGGAAGGAACCTTTCCCTTCCGAATCGCTCCACACTTCCATCTCTTGGGTTCAAATACATTCGCGAGACTTAATTGCATGACATTCAACATTATCCTCTGTTGAATCAGAGTGATAAAATTTCTAACATTTTGAAAAATTTCCAGTCGAAAAATAGGAATGTGCTATTTTGAAATTGAGAAAAATACAACATGTAATTCTACATGATTAAATATCGTGTTTTAATTCACGAATGCAAACGGAACAATTTATAGTCCAAGGTGTATAATACATCTAAAAAAAAATAAAGTTGTAAAAAATGTATCAGTACATAGGTTAAAAACCACATGGGGTGTCAGCCGTGAGATGACAATGCATGGGTTGTCATCTCAGGGCTGACAGCCCATGTGCGCTGTCAGCCCGGCTGACAGCCCTATGGGCTGTCGCCGAAATGACAGCCCATTTCGGCTGTCATTTCGATGACAGCCCATAGGCCCTGGTGGGTGTCATAATGAGATGTCATCTCATTATGACAACCCATGTGGGTTATCCCGCATTTTTTTATTTTTAACCGTGTAGTGTGTTGAGTTTTTAGAAGTGTGAGTGCTACAAAGTGGGCTGTGAAAGTTTTCATTTTCAATCCGGAGTTAATTAAAGGTTAGTTTATTTTAGCATTATTTATTTTGTAAAATTTTATTTGTTATTTTGTATTGTGTTTTTTACAATAATTATACATGATGTGTATATTTTTTTTTTGTAGGAATTACTTTAAGGAAAATGGCAAGTACGAATTTTACATCTTTATAATGATTGAAGTATAAATTATTTCGATTAAAATTTATATGAAATTATTTTTATTCTTATTATAATTTTATAATGTACGAGATTTTATTTTGTATAGGTAACCAGGTTGTTGTGTTAATATGTCGTCATCCAGAACATGAAGGTCCTAGAGATGATGTTGATTTCAACATTGCTCCCCAAAATGTCTTGTTCGTCTCTGCAACATGTTCGTTCGAATAGTTAGTGTCCGAGATAAAGAATTGTCTTCAAATTGGAGACACTGTTGGTGAAATATTGTTATGGGGAAAATTTCAGCCAAATCAATCTCTGGGTGATGTAGTTTATCCATTTCCAATAACAGATAATCAGACGTGGTCTTATTTTTTGGGGGCGATGTCCACATTTGGGGCGTTCGTGGTTTTTGTGAAACATCAAATGCCTTTCCATTCAACATTGAATCTAAACACTGTTTAAGGGGGTACTAGCGTTGACTGCATTCCAATTAGAACACGTGAAGCCCCATGCGGGCTGTCAGTCGAGACATCTTGTCTAGCTGGCGGAACTGCACCTCATCGGGCAGTGTACCGAGACAAGAAGTCTCGGCTGACTGCCCCATGTGGGCTGTCAGTCGAGATATCTTGTCTTGCCTGACAACTCCGCATGCTAGCTGGCGGAGCTGCATCATCGGGCAGTGTCTCGAGACAAGAAGTCTCGGCTGACTGCCCCATGTGGATGTCAGTCGAGACCTCTTGTCTCGGCGTCTCCGCGTGCTCACCCAATGTTGTGAGCACGCGGAGCAGTCCACACGGGGCAGTGCACCGAGACATGACGTCTCGGCTGACTGCCCCATGTGGGCTGTCAGCTCCGCGTGCTTACCCAATGTTGTGAGCACGCGGAGCGGTCCACATGGGGGCAGTGCACCGAGACAAGACGTCTCGGCTGACACCGACGTGGTCACCCATCTAAGATGTGTGACCACGCGATGCTGTCCGCAATGGCCACAATGGTTTATGCAGATATGTTGTTTCTATCTACACAACAAAAGTACTTCTAATATATGAACTATCATACTTTTATTACTCGGGTCAGATATCACATGGTTTGTACAATTAATAATTAAATTTTTTGAATGAATTATACAACTTTGAGTATAAATATGTCCTTTTCCCTACATGAGTCTAACAGACCTTATTATATCCCTTACTTCATCACAATTCCCTACAACTTTCTTTCTTCACATCTTCTACTGTTTTTACATTTTCATTATGATTCCTTTTTTGCAACTTCGGTTTTTTATTTGTTGTTTTAGGTTATCTAAAATTTCAAAGTTTTTTTCACCACATGTTGTTCTCATTGCAATGATATTAACTGTCAATTAATTCTCGCGATTCTATTCTCAATCCAAGAGATAGAAATACTGGAATAACACGAACGACATTTAGCGGTGATTTTGGCGGCAGGTACACTAGCAGTGTACTCGGAACGACCACGGTTGGAGGCCGAATCAGACTACTCTTGGTGATGTGTCCTCCGGTTGCACCTATGGGCTGGGTTGCACCCATCATGTTCATTGTTTTTACTAGGGAAGTGCAAATGGAAAGACTATGCATAAGGACAAACTGGCAGCCCAAATATATGGCGGTGTACACCTTTTAGTCTTGAGTTTTTGTTCCATAACGGGTTTTCCTGATACCTGAGCTCGAACTCAAAGTTTAGAGGTTCACCGTTTAAATTCCTTAGTTATTAATGTCAAATGTTCTTTTTCCCATTGATAGCTTATCATGCAAATATGATGTATTCGGTATTTTTGGAAATTTTGGAAATGTAAAGTACAATATCATATAAAAAAATATATAATTATAAAGTATTTACTTCTAATATTTTGTACCATGAATTATTTACTCACACTCAATACTGTTATAAATACCACAATAACATACACAATGGAGCATATCCAAATTCGATGTACATTGAGAAATATAACTCGTAAATAAATATTGTGTTATCATTACGATTAAATAATTAAATCTACAACTAACAACATTCAAATTCCTATTTTCTTATGAATCGTATTCAAAGTTAAAACTTCGCAATGTTTACTTAATTACACATACATTCATTCCAATCAAACATTGGTCTACTCTACTCAAGTTCGAAAACAGTATGAATATGTTGGTGTACACTTTCGGATACCTACACACGCATTTCAGTGGCAATACTTTGAATAATATTGTTTTTGCATGTAAGTAAATGGCCGGCCCGCCGAGGACAAAAACGCGTTTGGGAAATGCGTTTCGAAAAAGCGTTTTTGTCGCCGGCTAATCGCCGGCCAACCGCCAGCGATTCTAATATCATAGCCGCATTTGGGAAATGCGGCTATCGTATGCTATACGAAAGCCGCATTTCTCAAACGCGGCTATGCGTATATGACAGCCGCATTTCCCAAATGCGGTTGTCAGTACCGTAGATGTACCGTAGATTTGCACACCAACCGAGTTTGGGATATGCGATTTTGACCTCAACCGTGTTTTCCAAACTCGTTTTTCCTATTTCTGTAAAAAAAAAAAAAAAAAAGACTTCCCATTATTATCCACAACTATTTGTCTCTTCCCATTTCAGTCAAAAACTCGATAAGTCTTCCCTGCACGACTCCTTCCTGAAAAACTCTGTGGGCTTGGTCATCACCGCCGCCCAAATGCATTGAAAAGATCAAAAAAAAAAAAAAAAAGGAAATCAAAAAACATGAAGAAAGTGAAGTTCGAAGTCTTCCCTTCTCATTCTTTAGTCTGGACCTCCTCTCTTCGATCATTCCACAATCTTTCGCGGCGTCTCTAATACCCCAAAGCTCTTCTGATCAATCTCTCTCTCTTTGTAGCTCTGATCTCTGCGATTAGTTAAAGGTGAGTTTTTGATTCCCTGATCAGTTTTACTTTTTTACTATTGAATTTTGCTTTTTTTGCCTTTCTGTTAATTCCAAGAATTGGTTCCCTTTATATTCAAATTCAAAATTTTCTTTTGTGTGGCTGTTGATGGAACGGATTCCACTTTGTTAAGCTTGGAGTGGGTCAATTTAGTGAAGGTTTATAATTTTAATTTCTGGGTTTGAATGGCTCAAATCACTAGTGATTTTGCATTTGATTCCTAGGTTTAGAATAGTTTTTTTTTTTTTTTTTTTTTTTTTTTTTTTTTTTTTTTGAATTTCGAAGCGTTCTTTAGGCTTCTATGTTACATTATACTCCGTACTTAATTCTGATACAATCCTGAATTTAGTTGTGTGTTCATTTTTTTTTTTTCTAGTTAGATTTTAAATTTTAAGTTCTGGGTACCTTCGCTCTATTTTTAAGGTCTGAATTTTCGGTTAGATTATGGTGAAAATCCTCATTTCTGGATGGTTAATTGCCTACACCATTTCTTTGTTTGGCAAAAACTGACTGTACTCTCGGATTTGATAATTCAATGCTTCAAGATTATTTTTATTATCTGCTTTTATGTTTTAAATATGATTGTGAAGGTGAAAACAATATTGTTAAAGGTTTAAACTTTTGTTAGATGGAGGAGGGGAAGAAGGTGTCTGAGAACCATTTGACTTCAGCTGCAGCATTTGTGGAAGGTGGAATTCTGGATGCCTGTGATGATGCATGCAGCATATGCCTTGAAGCATTTTCTGACAGCGATCCTTTTACAGTATGTATTGGTTTTCACATTGCGGGCAAGTACTGGCATGCTGTTAGTAATGCTACCTTCTTACATGCAGGTTACTGTTTGCAAGCACGAGTTTCACCTGCAGTGTATTCTTGAATGGTATGGCTAATCTACACTGTTTGAATAAGAAACTGTTTGCTCTCAGATGTATATCACCTATTAATTTAGGGATGGCAACGGGGCGGGGCGGGGGCAAGGAGTACACTCCCCGTCCCCGCTACCCCGACCCCATCCCCGGTGTGGAATTGAAAAAATTCCCTATCCCTGTCCCCGCGGGGAATTTGGCGGGGACGGGGAATTCCCATCCCCAATCAACCACATACTCAAAGTGTCAAACTAGTAAATTTAAAAAACAAAAATGAAATCCATATCTTTGTGTTATTTATTGATGTGAATCTCAAACAAATACTAAGCAGAATGGAATAGCATCTAGTAGTGTTTGTTTTTGTGTTTAGCATTAGTTAAGCAAAATGAAATAGCATCTGGTAGTGTTTTTGTGTATATGGTGGTGTTAATTGTTAACATTTAGTAAAGGTGGAAAAACACTATCTAGAACCCAATGAAAAGCATAAGAATGGAGGCAGTGGCTGGAGCAGTGCTTCAATGGAGCTTGGCGAGAGGGAATGGAGGCAGTGGCTGAGTTTTTTGCACTTTTGGTCCCACGACTATAGTGGCACTGGCAGAATTGATCCACGACTTTTGAACTTTGCAATTTTAGTCCACGACTATTGATTTTTTTACAAAAATGGTCCTTCCGGCCACTTTTCCGTCAAAATTTTACCGGAAAAAAAAAATCTCCATTTTTAGCCGATGTCTTCAGATGATCCAGCACGTCTGAGGACCATTTTAACCCGGCTAAAAATTGAGAATTTTTTTTCGGTGAAATTTTGACGGAAAAAATGGCCGGAAGGACCATTTTTGCAAAAAAATCAATAGTCGTGGACTAAAATTGCAAGGTTCAAAAGTTGTGGATCAATTCTGCCAGTGCCACTATAGTCGTGGGACCAAAAGTGAAAAAAACTCGGCAGTGGCTTAACTGATGGTGTGAATGTCTGATGGAGGATTGGAGGAATGGAGGATTATGGTTACTAATAAAAATTTTATATATATATATATTATTTTATTTTATTTTATTTTTTTTACTTATTCAAGGGCGGGAATAGGGATGGCAATGTGCCCTGTCCCTGACGGGGATCCCCGGTCCCCGCCCTGAAAGAGACGGGATGGGGAAAATTTCCGAGGAACGGGGACGGGGACGGGTATACCCGTCCCCGAATATATATATATATATATATATATATATATATAGGGAAGGGTTTTGGTGCGGGTATAGCTTCCCGTGCGGTTGTGCAGTTGACGCACCTTAAGCACACAAACAAAACACCTTAATAACACAAATCACGCGCACGTAAAGCTTTAGACCGACGCACCTTAAGTACACAATCCACGCACCTTAAGTACACAAACCACGCATCTTAAGAACACGAACCGCACACCTAAGGTTTTAAAATGATGCACCTTAAGTTTCAACAACTCACGCACCTTAAGCATACAAATCACGCACCTTAAAAAGGAAAACAACAGAAGGAAAACCACGCACCTTAAGCTTCAGGTTGACGCACCTTAAGTTTTAACAACTACTCACCTTAAGCACACAAACCACGCACCTTAAACACAAAAATCACGCACCTTAAGTACAAAAATCATGCACCTTAAGCACAAAAATCACACACCTTAAGTTTCAACAACTACTCACCTTAAGCACACTACTCACGCACCTTAAGAAGGAAAACTACGCACCTTAAATTTGACCTAAATGCAAAAATTACCAAATTGCCACTGTGTTTGTTTTTTTAAATTTTGGTAATCCTGGACGTTGATTTAAGCAAGATCAATGGCTCAGATTTAACCGCACAACCGCATGGGAGACACCGAACTGCACGGGAACTGAATTCTATATAGTATATAGTATATAGTATATAGTATATATACTATATACTATATACTATATGCAAAGGAGCTCCTAGGTGAAAGATGGGGTGAGATCTGAGCCGTTGATCAAATCTAGATCAATGGCTCAAATCAATGATTTTTTTTTAAAAAAAGCATGTCTTGGAAGGAAGAAGCAAGTGTAAAAGAGACGCACCTTAAATGTTACAAAGACGCAACTTAAGTGTTAGAATAACGCACCTTAAGTATTAAAATGATCGAGTAGCCCACGTGTTAGCAAGGGCGACTGGAGTTAGTTGTTTTGTTTAAAAAAAAAAAATGACGCATTTTAAGTCTTAACATCGCGCACCTTTAGTTTTTAAAATGGCGTACCTTAAGTGTTACAAAGACGTACCTTAAGTAGTAAAATCACGCACCTTAAGTGTTAAAATGACGCATCTTAAGTGTAGAACTAATGCACCTTAAGTGTTAAAATGGCGCACCTTAAGTGTTAAAATGGCGCACCTTAAACTTTGAAATGACGCACTTTAAACTTTGAGATGACGCACCTTAAGCTTTAGAATAACGCACCTTAAATTTCAACAAAAAATGCACCTTACGTTCTCAAGTGTATAACTGACGAACCTTAAATATTAAAATGGTACACCTTAAGTATTAACACGATGCACCTTAAGCACAGAAAATACGCACCTTAAGTTTGAAAAATACTCAAAATTATCAAATTGCCACTGCAATTTTTTTAAATCTGTGTTCAATCTGGACAATTGATTTTGGCGAGATCAATAGCTATCATTCAACCTCATGTTTCACCTGGACACATCCACCGCATTTTATCTCTAACCTAACTATCGATATGCAAGATCTAATGGATAGGAAATCAAGTAAAAAGGAGCGGGGTCATTTCCATAAATATTACAAACTTTTGAAGTTTGTAATATTTATGAAAACGATCCCATCCTTTTTTTTTTTCTTTATTTTCAGCCGTTAGATCTACTAAATTAATGGTTTGAATTTGTCCACAGGTTCTCACCTGGGGCATAGTTCTCATGGGAGCCAGCCTATATATATATATATGGAGTTAATATAAGCATATACTGCCTCCTGTCATAGTGTAACCATTTGATGAGGATATAGGATTCTCTAGATAAAAAATGCTTCATTATAGGTAAGCTTTAATCTTGTCCATTTTGATTGTCTATACAGTGAACCATATGTATAGGTAGCACATATGAATGCAAGTCTGCTATAAGATGTCATCGCTAAGATGTATTGGTGGTTTGCCACTACATTCTACTTCAAGTTTGCTACTGAGATGTCAAGACCAAGTTGTATTGGTGGTGAGCCACTGCTGTCTACTGGACTATTTTTGAGAATGAACTCTTAACATACACATATATCTATGGAGGCAATGATGGTATGGATAAGCATATGCCTATGCTGGTGTACACTGGCCAAAATCTTAAATAACAGTCATCTGGGGTTTCTTTCATATTGTGATTTGAACCTGTAGGCCTTAATTAAATGGCCTTGAGTTCTCTCTCTTTCTTAATTTGAAACTCCTCCACCTCTTCCTCCCTTTTGGAATGAAAAAAAATTGCATTAGTTTTGCCTTTTGTTTAAAGTCAAAACTCGGAGAATGCCTCATGTAATTTTGAGCAGTACAAACATTTTGGTTGAAAGTTTTGAGTTACCGACACAGCGACACTAGATGTATTTGCTGCAACATACATATATAACATAATACTGTAGTTACTGTTTTTTTTCTTTCTCCAGGGGCCAGAGAAGTTCACAGTGCCCCATGTGTTGGCAAGCTCTTAGCTTAAAAGACCCCAACAGGTCTCACTTTTCGTTTCTAGACAACTGACATTATTTTCAAAATATTTTCACTAATTTTACATTGTCTTCCATTTACTAATTTGCCAATTGGATTTCTGCTTTCAGCCAGGAATTGTTTGATGCAGTGGAACATGAGAGGAATATCAGGATGCATCCTCCCAGAAACACCACACATTTTCACCATCCAACCTTGGGGGAATTTGAATTGCAGCGGCTGTATTGTTGTTGTTGTTGATTTTTTCTAGTTGAAACAAGTTTACTTCAAGGTTACTGAATCACGTGACATTTTCCTGTTGCAGTTACCAGTTAGTGCAACTGATTCTGAGCTTGAAGAACGTATTATTCAGCACTTAGCAGCTGCTGCTGCAATGGGAAGGGCACGGCACCTTGCCAGGAGGGAAGGTCAGAGGGGTAGGCCACCAGCCCAAGGTCGTCCCCATTTTCTGGTATTTTCAACTAATCCAAATGCACCTGCCGTGGTTGCTGCTTCTCCTCCTCCAACTCAGAGGAGTGGAGGTGAACCCACTTCTGTCGTGGCTGCTGGTCCTACATCATCATTTATTGCATTTGGAGAAGGTTCTGCACAGTTGATTGCACCGGCAGCATCTATCCAATCTGGTTGGGTTTCTTCACCTGGATCGGGATCCAGTGGTGGTGTTACTCAACCTGGATCATCATCAAATAACCGGTATCTATCTTAGATTGATCACCTGTTTGTGCTTATGGTCTTGGTGAAAGTTATCCTCGTTTTGCATTTCAATCTGGCCAAAGTGGCTACAGATACGCAGTTATCTATTTTTTTGTGCATGTTTTTGAAATACTTTTTTGTCTTGTAGGACGTCTTCTCCTAGTAACCAAGACAGAGCTGGACCATCTGATTTTCAGTCTTTCTCTGAATCCTTAAAATCTCGCTTTAGTGCAATGTCAACGAGGTATTGACTATTGAGATACATATTATGTATCTTTTCTGTGTTTATGATCTCATATTGAAATGTGACTTTTATCTTTTGCTTCATCCTTTACAGATACAAAGAGTCTATCACCAAGAGCACTAGAGGTTGGAAAGAGAGATTATTTTCTCGGAATAATCCTACAGTGGATCATGGTTCTGAATCTAGGAACGCAGTTAGTGCCGATATTGCTGCTGTATCACGCTTGATGGAGCATCTTGAGACTACAGAGACTAGTAGGACCCCGCTTTTTCACGAGCCAAATAGACAAGAGGAGAATTTACCACCGGATCGTACAGAGCAACAAATCTCTGGGATTGACAGTAATCTTCCTTTGGCGGAGGGCAATAGGCAAGCTCCATGTGCTACTACCTCTGCTTTCAACTGAGTTTCAATTCAGTGTTATTAAATTACAAAATTGTCTCCTTAAGTAAGTACTCGTATCTCTCCCTCTCTATTTTGAGTATTTTCTTTTATGTTCTCAAGATTTTGCAGCTTGCTTATGGCTTATTGGATTAAATAAAACTAATGAGTGTTCTAGGATCCTGCTAATTTTGGCTTATTTGATCACTATTAGCTGTTTGACTTGGTTAAACAATCAATGTAAGTGTTTGATTAATTAGCTTTTTGGCTCCAAAAGACCAAAACACTAACAACCAATATAAGTGTTTGGTTAATTAGCTTTTTGTAACAGCTTATTGCTCCAAAATACTAAAATTCAAAAAGCTGCTCAAAGCAGTTTTTTGAGAAAGTCGTTTTGCATGTATTCAGCTATTAGCTAACAGCTAATTTACCGAACATCTTTCTACAGTCAGTTAATGCTATCAACTAATCAAATCCACTAACCCAATCTGCTAACAACTATTTACCAAACACCCCCTATATATTTTGGTGCATCTAGGGTCCGTTTGGAAAGCAGGAAAATGACTTCTGGAAAATGTTTTCGGGAAAATGAGTCATTTTCCGGAAAACATTTTCCTTTCCAGTGTTTGGTTGCATTATGGAAAACTGTTTTTCTGTGTTTGGTTCATTTTCTGGAAAATGAGTAGAATTGTATAATTATATAATTAAACATTTTAATTATTTTATTTAGAATATTACAACATGTATAATAATATATAATAATATAATATTAATTTTAAATATAATAAAAAATAGCTAAGTTTTTCAAAAAAAAAAAACTAATAATATATCAAAAATATTATGGTGGTGGTGGTGTAGTGGTAGTGGTGTTATTCGTTATATAATAATAATAATAATAATAATAATAATAATAATAATAATAATAATTGGTGGTGGTGGCGGTGGTATGGTGGTGGCAGCGGCGACGGTGGTTGCGGTAGTATGCTGGTGGTGGCAGCGACGGCGTTAGTGGTGTTGGTGTGATGGTGGTGGTAGTATGACGGTGGTGGCAGTGGTCGTGTGGTTGCGGTGGTGGTGGTGGTGGTGGCGGCGACGGTGGTTGCGGTGGTATGGTGGTGGTGGTGGCGGCGGTGGTTGCGGTGGTATGGTGGTGGTGGTGGCGATGACGACGGTGGCGGTGTGATGGCGGTGGTATGGTGGTGATGGCGGCGGCGGTGGTATGGTGGTAGTGGTGGCGGCGATGGTGGTTGTGGTGGTATGGTGGTGGTGGCGGTGGTAGCGGCGACAGTGGTTGTAGTGGTATGGTGGTGGTGGTGGTGGTTGCGGTGATATGGTGGTGGTGGTTGCGGTGGTATGATGGTGATGGCGGTGGCGGTGGTATGGTGGTAGTGGTGGCGGCGACGGTGGTATGGTGGTGGTGGTGGCAGCGGTGGTGGTGTGGTGGTGGTGTGGTGGCGGTGGTATGTGGTGGTGGTGGCAGCGGCGATGGTGGCGGTGGTATGGTGGTGGTGGTGGTGGTGGTAGTGGTTGCGGTGTTGGTGGTGGTTGTGGTGGTGGTGTGATGGTGGCGGGGGTATAGTGGTGGTGGTGTGATGGTGGCGGGGGTATAGTGGTGGTGATGGTGGTATGGTGTTGATGATGTTGGTGGTGGTGTGATGTTGGTGTAAAAGTTGGAAAATGACTTCCCCCCCAAAAAAGGGGAAGTCATTTTCCTCCAAAACAAGCCTATTTTCCAAAGTCAATGGAAAATGATTTCCGTTGACTTGATTTTCCAGGCACATCCAAACACTGGAAACTTGGAAAATGATTTCCAGAACTCATTTTCCAGGTTTCCAAACACACCCCTAATGGAATGGGATGGTGGGAATGTGAGATATGAATTCTCGGCTACTACTAACTACTAAGAAAGGCATGTAGCATTGTCCAAGCCTTTGAACCCCGTGCTTGGGGACTATATATTATTTCATCTTTTATGAGTAGTAATATGATACTCCGTATAACTTTCTTGGCGTTTCTTTTGCGTTTTTTTTTTTTTTTTAAATTATTTTGTTCATTTATTTGGCTGAAATCATTTCAGACGGATAACCTCTGAGAACGGCGGTGTATGGTTGCATGGAATATGTTCTGTGGTTTTGCCCTCTCATCTGGTCTTATGATAACCTGCGGAAGGAGTTGCTTATTGTAGCCTTTCTCCTATAAAATAGGATAGGATGGAGTTTATTTAGTATGAACTTTGAACTGTCATATATAAAATATGTAAATTGGTCTATATGTTGAATTATTCTTTGAAATATATCTAAAATTTTTTTCATTCTATGGTTGATGAAGCTCACCATTTTTCGTTTTGAGAATTCAATCATAGTTTTGCATAACATGAGATGCATCCATTGATAGTTTTCCTAAATGGAATTGCAATATAAACCTCTCCATGTGGCCATTAGATGCAACATATAGATGTTAATTTCCTTCTAGCTTAACCAAAGTCTTATATTTGAGTTTTGCAAATGTAGTGAGTGGTTTGTTATTCCCCCGTCTCATTTTATGTGTTGATTCGTTTAACAAGACTTGACTGAAATTACTTTTAATTCAATTTTAATAATATTAAGTTTAATATTAGTATACAAAATGTATATATTTAAAAACTATACTAAAAGTACTATTAAACACAAAAAAAAAAAAAAAAATTAAACTTAAAAATAAGTAAACAAATGCTAAAGAAAAGAGTAAATACTCAAAATGGTCTCTTAACTATAGCTAAATTCACAAATTGGTCATCGACTTTCAATTTTAACCAATTAAGTCTTTAAATTTGCAATTTAACACGATTTGGTCCTCCGTCTATTTTACCATTTGTTGACTGTGATTTTGAGGATGTATATGTAATTTCATGGTCCATCGTCGATTTTTTAAGGTTCCATTTCATTTTTAGACCACACTGTTACATTTGAATCCACTGCCGAAAGCAATCTGTCAAATTCTGCCGCCTTTCTTCATCCTTCCTTTGGATTCAATGTAGTTGAGTTCGTACCAGAGTGAAGAAGACGAGGTGTTTCCGAACCGGTGCAGTGCCATCCTGGAGGCCTCCACGTGCTCCGACGAGAGCTGTAGGTTCTTCTAGAGATCGTGGATGATGGCGCGACCGCCACCGTTGATGCAGAAGTGTTCGAAGGCCTGTTTCAAGTCAGGAATGTAGGGTTTTCATTTGGGATTAAAGATTTTCCCGATTAGAGTGAAGAGGAAGAGGAGCTGCTCTGACGGCGGGAGAACAAGCGGGCCGATTGTGGTTATGTTGGATTTGAGGGCTTCGCCGGCGATCACCATTAGGTCTTTTGAGAGGTTGATTCCGACTTTCCCTTGCGGATCTTCCTGCTCGTAAACGCAGCGGTAGGCTTTATCGATGTCGCCCTTGTGCGTGTGGACCACGTGCATGAGCCGGTACTTGGGCCGACCTGAATCGTGCTTCTTGTTGGACACGAGAATCGCGGCGCCGCCCAATAGACTCAGACACGGTTGTTTATGGCATTGGACCTGATGAAGATTGCAAATTGGGCTGTAGCGCCGGCAATGATGAATTATGCGGAGGTGTTTGGGCGGTGGATTGTGTCGTGGCAGTAGGTGAAGGCTAGGCGGTGGAGTGTGTCATGGCAGTAGACGAGGGCGGCTGGGCGATAGATGGTGTCACGGCAACGGATGAGGGCGGGCGGCGATGAAATTACATATCCTCAGAGATCACGGTCAACAAACGGTCAAATAGACGGAGGACCAAATCGTGTTAAAATTGCAAAGTTAATGACTTAATTGGTTAAAATTGAAAGTCAATTACCAATTTGTGAATTTAGTTATAGTTGAGGGACCATTTTGGATATTTACTCTAAAGAAAATAAACAAAGAAGAAAGAGTTAGGTTGACTCATGAATAATAAGGCCATCTCCAACCCATTACACCAAATTTTACACCAAAAGGAATATTCTCAGAATATTCTTACACCAAAATTTATTCATCTCCAACCCATTACACCAAATTCTACACTAATTTATTTCTACACAAAAATAATTTATTTTCTCATAAATTAAAACTTTAATTTTTTTATTTTAATTTTTTAATATCAAATTTAATTGTAATGCAAATAATATTTTTATTCCACAATAATATAACATATAACAACTATTACATTTAATTTTCAAATTATCATATTGTTCCCACAAATGCTCAATCAATGCATTTTGGATGTATTCGGTTTAATGTTATAAAAATTACGTTTTTATGTACTTTAATTTTTAATTAATCTATAGATAATATTAGGCTTGTTTTAATCGTCTTGATGCGATCTTTCAAATGATATAATTTATTTTTAATTATTCAAATGTTATGTTTATGTATTTAACAAAATATGTAAATTTATAAAAACAAAATAGGAATACAAAAGGAATTAATAAAAAAGGTAAGAATAAAATTGAAATAAAGCAGCTTACACCATTTTGGCGTAAAAGCTACAGTGCAGCGCCAAATATGGCGCTGCACTGTAGCTTATCGCCAAAATGGCGCCCAATTTGGCGCTACATTGGAGGAGTTTCAGCGCCAAATTGGGCGCTATTTTAGCATTTGGTGCATAAAATGCCGTCCCTTGGAGACGGCCTAAGTAAGACACATAAAATGGGATAGAGAGAATGTTTTTTAGGTATTACTTGGCACGGATAAATTTAAAACTTTAATTTTCAAATGTTTTCATTGTATCATCACATGTTATTCTAATATTTTAAAGCATGGCTTATTGATAGAAAATTTTTTGAACTTTCAACATAATAATATTTAAATCTTCAAAACTTAATAATAAATCTTTGTATTGTATTTAATTATCGTATCTAATTATATAAAATAATTTAATTCTCTTAATTTATGCATTAACCAGTGTTATAATGCTTGAGTAGTTGAATATAATATACTTTAATAGAATGTTAGGTTGAAAAGTTTAATTTTGAATTTTGAATTTAATAATAACGTACATTTTGGTACATTATATTTTAAAAAACACGTTATATATTGTAATTATATTTTTAAAAATAGTTTGTGTACCAACTCAGAAAAGCTGGGATAGGTTGATTTTTTATTTGTTTTTTCATAAATTGAAAATTATAAACTCATTAAGTCATTATTTATGAATAGTTTAGTTTAGTCTAATTTAGGTTGGTTTACTGATCCTTTATCAGTTAGGGTTATAAGGCGGATTTCACCTATATCATACATTTGAATAGCGGTTGTGAACTTTAATTTCCCGAAAATCAAAGTTTAATCTAATCTCCACATAAATGTGTAAAATAAAAGAAAAATAATAATAAAAAATGCAATTTAAGTTGGTGTTGTCCAGTAAACTTCAAACCTATTTTGCATGATTCTGCTGTAGTTTAGACATTTAGTCATGCATGCCATAATATTTCGAACAGTCTTTCAACTATTTTTTTTGCATGATTCCACTGTGTTTAGTTGTGTCATAATATTTTAATGACAATAGGGTCATAAACTAGAATAAATAGGATTTCAGTCCACACTAAATGATGAAATAAAAAACAAATAATATTTTTCAATCAAATCAAATTATGAAAACGAAACCTATAATTTTACATCTGTGTTTTATATATGTTTTCTTTTTGAAATATTTGAGGAAACCAGGAATACTCGAATACATTGGATGAGAAAGGGCATTCAAATTTGTAGAAAAAATTTGAGCTGAGATTTTGTGTTTTGGTTCAAAGTACAATTTAGAATATATCTGAAAGGGCTAGGCCTTAGGCCACTTGAACATGCACTCAAAAATATTAAATTAGACATATTATTAATCTTCAACTAACCACTCTTTTTTAATGCATAAAAACACTATCTTTATCTATATTAAAGTAAAATGAAGCAATGAAAATTTTCTCATTCAATATAAAAGGCGGCCGTAAACATTGAATTCTTTGGTTAAAAGATGGCAACTTTCCATTTACCAAAAAATATTATCACAGTTTTATGAATTCGGTAAATAATTATGTCAATAATTTATTTAAACCGAATACTTTTCCAATGTAATTAATTGCGTTGAAGTTATTGCTGCCCGTTCGTTCACTAACAATTGGTTTCAAATCACAGCTAAACAATTATAAATACATCACTTTGTCTTCATTATAAACACTACCAACATAATAATTAATAACAAGCAGTACATCGTCGTGAAATCTCTCCTATGAACACCAGGAGTGCAATATGCTTGCGTGTTGTTAGAACCTATAAGGTTCCAGAAAGAAAAGGTTCTTCATCAATAAAATCTAAAGAAGTGGACTTTCATGATCAAGAGGTATGTTTTAATTTTATTTTGCAGTTCAATATTTGTAATCAGTATAATACTATTTACACTATTTTTTTAAAATTAAAATCCAACATTTGCAGGGAATCCAACATTAGCAGGGAACATTTCTTTACGATCATATCCTTAAAGAACATAGTTGAAAAGTTCCTCAAATGATTTAGAGGAGAAGGGAGAGTTTATGGAGTTAAACAGAGACACAGTTCATAACTTATTTATAAGTTATAACTTAAAAGAGAAAACGACGCTTTTGGCCGCTCAATTATTTTACTTTTAGAAATTCAGCCACTGTTAATTGATTTGAACACACTTAATCCTTTAATTAATTGTTCACAATATGCCATATTTGGTCCATAATGTTATATAATTAGAATTTTTTTTAATAATATTTTTTCATGAGGGGTTATATTCAAGGACGGAGTCAAAGGGGGGCAGCTGCCCACCTCACCCCACCCCACCCCACCCCACCCCTACCCCTATATAATTTTGGTATGTGTATATGTATATATAATACAGGTTTTAGTGTTAGTATAAAAAAACTATTAAATGTTAAAAGAGATGAGCTAGATTAGTTGGTAGAGCACATGTTTGGCAAATTAATTATGCTTCATATTTTGTTATTAATATTTTTAGGGAAAATGGTCAAATAGGCCCTCGAACTTTAACTTAAAAATCAATTAGGCCCCTAAACTTTTTAAAGGTATAATTACAACCATCAACAATTCATTTAGGTCTAAGAAGTCCAAAAACAAGTTAGTGACCTTCTATCACAATTCATTTATATCACTCAAATGATTTTCTTGATTCGTTTCTGGTCTCACGGATAATGATTTGTGAGACGTTCTCACACAAATTTAATAATATATATAATGAAAATTTAAACGTATTTGAGCCTTATCACTTTTATTGAGATTAATATGAAGTTCCAAATTAAACACAAGAAAATAATTTTTAAAGTACAAAGAAGCAAACTGTT